CTAAGAAGGTCCAACTTCCCTTGTAATAATTCTTTCTCATTGTATATCTCCTTCACAGAGAGAAATTCCAAGAGCGGGAAGACCAGGTGCCGGTCCAGAAAGTGAGCGATGCGCGTGGTCAGGTCGTACTCCGCCATCTTGCCGGAGAAGAGGGAGTCTGTGTTCTCGAAAACTTTATTAGTAGCGAGACAGACACGCCGCGGAAGTACTGCGCATGCGTACGACTCGCTGCGGTCCGACCGACGGCGCATGTGCAGAGGCCTCTCTTTGCGTCTGCGCCGGAGGGTGATTTCTGCGTCCCTGTCCTTCAAGGCTGTGGAACCGGCGGTGCGCTCGCAGGTCCCGGCCGCTTCTACGTTCTTAGCGCTACGGTCCAGAGAGGAGGCCGCTGCGCCCCGAGAGCCCGCAGAAGGGAAACGGGTTGTCCGACGCCCGTGGTTCCTGTGCAGAGCTGCGGCCCTGGAGCCGGCATCTGCGGACTCTAGGCAGAGCCACCTCACGTGGAGCGGGTGACAGGCCACTTGGTTGAGCAGGTGACGGGCGCTGGGGAGCCCACGCAGAAAACGGGGGCACGCGGGGGTTGAGGGAGCGGGGTTCTCAAGCGCAAGGCCCCCCGCGCGCCCCCTCCTTCTGCCCTCGCTGGGTGACCTCGCCCTCGGTACCGGTGACCAGTCCCCAGCTCCACCCGTGACCCACAGCGCCTTGACTGCCACGACCCGGAGCCCTGCCCTGTTCCATGTGCCCTGCGTTTCAGCATGAACGGATCAGAGCTAAGAGCCTGAAGCTCACCAGGACCACACCACTGTCCAGTGCTCCGTCAGCCCACAACCCCAGGGCTTCCTGACGCAATGCCACCCCACCATCCAGGCGCCCAGAACCCCAAGGTCCCCCTTACCCAACACCATCCCACCACCCAGAGCTCCCAGAACCCCATGGTCATCCAAAACTCTTATGTGGGACAAAGCCACCAAGGTCTTCTGGTTCTAACCTTCTAGGCACATCTAGGTCCCGTCAGTCCATAGAACCTGCAGGGTTACATCTCTCCTCCAAACCACCATCATCTCACTTTGGTGTTGGGAAGTCTTGTTGCTGTCTTGCATCTCCTCTTTTCTTTCTGTGTTTATTCAGCCAAAGTAACGTTGACAGTGCAGTTTGCTTAAAACCAGCTGGGTGTGGCGGTGATTTAAACCCGTATCCTGGCTCTTTGGTTGACTGAGGCAGGAAGATTGCAGGTTCAAGCCCAACCTGGGCAATTCTGCAAGACTGTGCCCCCCAAAAAATCTTGATGAAAACCCTCCAAGCCTTATTTTACATTCAGAGTGTATAAAATGCTGTAAAAAGGCCTAGATCATCTGGCCCCACTAGCTCTCTGCCCTGTTGCCTACATCTTTGATAGCTGGGCCTAGCCCCATGGTTTGCCCCATTGGGTGCTCCTGCCCTGCTTCATCCTGGCCTCCTGATTCCCTCTGCTGACAGTCTCCATTCCATTGTCTACAGTGCTGCTTGGTTTTTCCTTTCTACTTTGCTTCAGTGTCATCTGCTCAGTGAGACCTTCCCTTGACCAGTCTGAAAAGTGTAGCTCACCAGCTTACAACACTTCTCATCTCTGATTTTGCTCTTATTTTACTTACTTACTTGGTTGATTATCTGTTTCCCCTAACTAATAGTATTCCAAGACCAGGGATTTTGTCTGTTGTTCTTCACTGCTTCTGCTTTGCCTAAGCCAGTGGTGGCAAGTTATTTGTATCATAGAAAGCTCTAAAAGTTTTGCTCTCAGTAACCTAAATAATATCTAGACATGGTTGTTAATATTTTTGAATGAATAGTTCAGCGAAGAAGGAAGATCAGCTTTTACTTTGGAGAATGATCTATGAAAACCTTTAGATAATTTGAGCTTATTCTGCGCTTTTTGTGGCAAAGGGATGGTAAAGAGGTAGGAGAAAAGTCAATCTGATGTTCTTGCAGATCAGGGGGATCCTCATGGTAATTTAGCCAAGCAGTCAACATAGGTAGAAGAGATGAAATTCAGGGTGCACTTTGGTGTTAGACCTGAGCAGGACTGCTCTTACATTGGATGTGTTGGACAAAAAAAGGTTGTTTGCTATCTGCATGTTATGTCAGTTCTTAAAATGACAAACATAAAGCAGAATGGATATGGTAGACAGGAGATAAGGTGACATGGCATTAGGAGCCAGGGGAGGGGAGCCCAAGCAGCACTGAAAGGTTACCTATCAAATGATGATGTGGGTTCGAGATGACAGCAAATCTGCTCACTTTGGAAGATGTGTGGATAATTGATGACCTTGACCAGAGCACTTACAGTAAGTGGCAAATATATATATA